CTCTCAGAGAGTATGCAAATACATTTAAATGCTCATCAAGAACAAGAAGTTGACATCATGTTGTACCATATAAAACAGCTTAATGCCCACAACCGCGCTAAATTTTTACATTTAACATAAACATAACGGTGGAAAAACGCATAGGTATTTAGGTTATTCTTATGCTGAGTGGCTACTATAGAAATTTCATTTAAGTACGGAATAACACAGTATTACAGAAAGGCTACAACTGGAAGTACAATACACTCTCTCAGGAAGCTATGCCTTATCTACACGTGTTCAGTAGCATTAGAATCAACTGCTAAAATAAACTAACGTAAAAATTGGCAAGAAACACATCAACACCAATTGAAGTATCATACTGGGACTACACAAGGACTTGTGTTAGAAACACATACTTTGTACAGTTAATTATGCTCTCTCTCTTTTTCGTCGTAACTCATCCTGTTATATTTCCTCTACAGGCAATTCAAACTTGTCAACTTCTTCAAAATATGCTCTCTGCTTTTCAATAAAATCTCGTGGCAAGCAGAAGTCATTAGCACCTTCCTGCCGAATGCACCTCTTCTGCAAAACCACATTATCCATGAACATCAATACTGGATTTTGGCATCTAAATAAGTAGTATCAAATAGTTGCTCTATAAAAGGCGTTTTTAGCACAAGATAGCCTTGAACGAAAGAGCACTTTATTGATTTCATGTATTTTTAGAATTGGTTACCCTCCATCTCCTATCTTTTCCGTAACCCAGTTTGAGCCATCAGAATGTGATGTTGAATGCTTTAAATAAATATATGGCTTTTGCCAAAGTTGGGGATATTCATAGCCAACACCAACAGCAGTCAAAGGACATTACATCGAGATATTAGGACAGTTGTGTAACCTTTTACCATCAAAGTTCAGTACAGCTGGGAATTTGGATTATAGTAGTCATAAGACAGAGCAATGATGCTTTATGGGAAATTGAACAGACGATATCATCTGATTATCTATCAGACCCCTATTCTATGGGGGCTTTCATGCTTGGTCAACTGCAAAATTCCCAATAGCAGAGCCACCATTTTATCTACCAAGAAATCTTTATAGAAATATTCTTTACATTGACGACTGTATGGTCAACTAGTAAAAAGACCAGTCACAAATATAATTGTTGTTTACTACAGAACAATTTCGTTTCCATAAGGTTCAGAGATAGTCAAGAGAAAGGGCTGATCATAGAGCCAAAAGAACAACCTAATATTTTTACTGTAAAATAGAAATTAGAACATAATAAAATAAATGACAACCTAGTCTGCTGCTTTGAGTTCATTTTTATTATGCTCTTATTTCAGTTGAATTTCCTCAGGAAGTTAAAAACCAGATAAAACAACTATATCGTGTTTTTGAAAGTGCCCAAGGCTTAAGCCTTGAGAACCACCTATCACAAGGCTTTTATTAGGAGACTTAAGGCCTCTGATGCTCGGACTCTTTGAAATAGTCGGAGTACCCGTGTCGGATACGACACGACGTGGGTATGGATATGAGATATGTGTTGGATCCTCAAAATTTCAATCGAACATTTCGTCTTTTTTGCTTCTTCTTTCTTTATTTCTTTTTTTCTTTTTCTTTTTTTTCTCTTTTCCATTAATTTCCCTCTTCTTCTTTCCCCTTTTTGCTCTCTAGAAACTTAGTGTCGCCGCCAAGAGGGTGGAGAAAGATAGCGACGCTAGGTTTTCCCTTCTTTTTCTTTTTCTTTCTCTTTCTTTTTTCTTTCATTTTTCCATTTTTTTCTTCTTTCTCTCTTTGCAACAGTGGTTTAAAGTTTCGTTTGTATAAAATGAAAATAAGTTCCATATAATGCTACTTAGTACTTCATTAAGTTCAAATTGCAATTAAATCTCTCATTTTCTATTTTATATAATATTTAGTAATTCCCATGATTGAAAACTAAATCTCAAAATTCTATTTTATTCACCTTAATCCCTTATTCAATACTCGTTTATTTCTTTGTTAATAATTTATTTTGGTCTATTCAAAACAACATTTTGGATTCGTAAAAAAATTGAAGTTTGAATGACGTACCCACATACCCTTGTCCGAAATTTGGACTCTTTTTAGCCATCTCTCCATATCCTATATTTTAAAAAATAAAAAATCCGAAACTTAAATATATACTCGTACTCAATACCCGTACTCGAGTCCGAGCATCATAGCTTAAGGCTTACACTTGAGCATGTTTGGCAAATAAGCAAGCCCATGGCTTATACCTTACTTATTTCTCATTTTGTGTGGGACCTACTCCCATTATATTTTTAACCACGCATTTGTGTAGGGTCCATGGCTTATAAGCCATAAGCTTATTTGCACCTGCAAGTTTCCTCAATCAAGGCCTAAGCCTCAACTTAAACCCATACCTCAAGACCACAGGTGAGCATTCTGAGATTTTTAAGTCAGAGATTTTTAGGTTGATTCTTAATAGCCAAAATGCTTCAAGGGTTTTTTGGCTGGTTTTAGACTAAGCCCAACACTGAAATTTAAAAAGAAAAAGACAGTAGAATAAAGAAAAAAAAAATTGAAGAAATCATGCATGCACTAGCTCTTACAGATAGCGCGCGACGTCCTAAGTGAAATTACAGCTTTCTGATAGTATAAAACTGATAGCAAAAACACCGACAAGCAACTTACTCTTGTTTCTGTTTATATGTTTTTTATTGTCACCGCTGTGTTTTGTTTTCTTCGCTTTGGATTTATTTCCTTCTAAAGCCGGATAAACAATTATTCAGTACTTCACTAGCTGTTCCATTTGTTTTAGACTTCAAATATTCAGTGTAGATTAGTAGCAGTTATGTGATTGCTATTATCTTCTACTTTTCTCCATCCATTTTATGCATCCAGTTGCAAATTAGACTTAATTTTGGAAATGGTTTTCCACGGAATTTTCAGATAGTTCAAGGTATACAGAGAGTGTAATATTGTATTTTAATATGTTTTCAGTTATTATATTAGTTTATATTGAATCTTACGCCTCACCTCACGGATAGCCTCAATATCCAAATTAGCCTACTTAAATAATGTAGTTATCTAAATCTCCAATAAATAATTTCATTAAATTAGAAAATAAAAGGATATATCGTATATCCACTGAAACAACTTAATGTGGTATTCAAATTGGATTTAGGTGCAAACAACGAAAATAGAAGTGGAACCAAAGAAAACTTTTGTTCCACAAGAAAAGGCATAAGTGAAAGCTGGGACAGAATAATACTGATAGGAATGGAAAGCAATAACCAAGAACATTGCAGTCCTGAATTCCTTTCATGTGTCAAGAAATAAGAAATCTGTACAAACCTTTTCCCGCTTATGGTGAAGATCAGTCCATGACTTTGATGGTTTAACATCACGAGATTCATCAAAACCATTCCTAAACAGAAAAAGCATTAAAAAAGATCAGCACAAGCAATTGCTACAGGCAGAGAATGAGAGGAAATATATTAGTTGCTGACTCACTGGTTTGATCCCATAATAACATTGCTTTTTAGATTACAAGCACAAATCAAAATCTTAGAAAACTTGATGTATCGTTAATATAAGCAGAGGCACAAGAAATCAACTATGCTATATATATCTTATGGCATTACATTTGTCTATAAGAAGAAACCAGTGACTCCAGTGCATCAGGAATTTTAAAATAGGCATATTATGCACATAGTACAAGCTCTCAAAGAGCCATGACAATCAGGTTATTATTTCAAAAGGTCACAAAGTCCAATTTGTCATAATCAGAACATATTACATATATTTGCGCTGGGTGCAAGGTGTACGTGTTTGTGTACATGTGAGTAGAGTGAGAGTGGTAGGGAGAGTGTATGCTACTTTGTCTTCAGTAGAGGAGGGCAACTAGAAGCCCCAATATCTATAGTCTTCTTTCCACTTTTTCTTCTCCAAGAAGTGTAATTAACCAGCACAGTAGCAGATGCCCTTTTATCGTTTAGTTTTTCAACTGAGCTAGTAACGAGAATCGCCTTCCCCTTCTTCTTTGTCGCCTCAAGTAAGGAGCCAAAAGGATTGAGAATGGACTTACCTTTTTCCTCTGTTTTCTCAATTGAGCAGTCAAAAGGATTGAGAACATTCGTCCTTTTATAGTTTGTTTTCTCAACCAATGAGCTAGAAGGATTGAGGATTGTCTTCCCTATCTCTTTTGTTTTCTCGAGTGAGGAGCTAGAAGGACTACGAATCAACCCTCTTTCCTTTCTTTTCTCATATGAGCAGCTAAAAGGATCAAGGATCAACCCTTTTGTTTTCTCTGTTGAGCAACTAGAAGCGTTGAGAACAGCCTTCCCTTTATCCTTTGTTTTCTCAATTGACGAGCTAGAAGGATTGAGGATTGTCTTCCCGGTCTTATTTGTTTTGTCGAGTGAGGGGCTATGACTAAAGTTCACAACCCCTCTTTCCTTTCTTCTGTCATATGAGCAGTTAGAAGCATTAAGGATTCCCATCCTCAGCTGTTTTGTTTTCTCAATTGAGCAGCCAGAAGCACTAAGAACTGTCTTCCTCACTCCTTTTTCAAATGAGAAGCTAGAATGATTGGGAATTTCCTTCCCAACTTCTGCTTTTTCAGCATATCCACTAAAAGGAAAGAGATTTCCTTTCACCTTATCCATTTCTTTCTCCAGTAAACTACAAGAACCGTGAATTGTGTTACCATATTCCTCTGTTTTCTCAGGAGGTTGGTAATAGGATGGTACAGTAATTGCCTTTCCTTTATCCTTCTTCTTCAAAAGAGGAGTGGAGCTAAAGGTTGGAGAAACAACCTCTCTTTCTTTCTGAGGTCCATATGTTGTCTGTCTTCGACTTGATGCTCCATTCTTAGTTTTCCCATCACCTTCAATAAGCAGTAAGGTACAGAGGTACAGATTAGCGCTCTATTATTCTTAGAATAAGATCTACACATGAACAGGAAATAAGAACATCCATAAAAAATTGCCAACCACTGCTAAGCATCTCGATCTTTGTGTACAGGGTCAAAACAACATTTGCAAACGCCCAGAATTATATAGAAGAGAAACTAATTCCACAAGTCTGATGTTCATATGAAAATCAGTTCTACTCTCTTACTAGATAATCTAAGCAAACCCAGAACTCTTCAATCTGAAACTTCAAAAAAAATTCCTCTGATAGGTACTAAATTCAAATTTAAGACTCGCAAAGCACCCATTACTCTTCCCATCATGAATCAACAACAAAACAACGGGAAGAAAATCAAAAATTCCCAGAGAAAGATGAAAATACCAATAACAACGACTAAAAAACGAGGAATTATTTCATTGAAAGAACATTACACGATTCAGAATCTAACTAATAATTCAGAAAGTAAAAATCCCATATAAACAACAAATTTCAAATTTATCATCCCCTCCCTGATCATCAACAAAAAAATCCACTCACATGCCAAACCCTAGATTTTTAAATCCTAAAATCACTAAAAACACAAGCACATAAGAACGCTCATTCATACCAAAAAAAAAAAAAAAAAAAAAAAA